CATTGAAATTCCACGCCTCAAAAAGAAACACGTGTTATCTTAGCCAAATTAATCTCATAGTTACGAAACCTATTTAAAAATATCGATGGTATCTCGGCGTATAACTGTTAATAACGTTTTCTTTTTCAAGAAATTTAAATTAATGAGCATATATTTAAATTTGTTAAACTTTTTATATGTATGATTTATCTATTTTTTCTTCTTAAGACTTCTTAAATTTAAATTTCTTAAAAATATTTTTAAAAATTTAGTTCTTTTTTTGCCGGAATAGTAAAGAATTATGGATATTATTCTTTCGTATATTATTTTTATTAATTAGCATGATTCAGCTTGATACTGTTTGTAATATTTCAATACTTGTGTTATATTTGACTATAATCTGAACTCTTTATCTTTATATTATATCATGAGTTCTGAAAAAAATTATTTAGTATTTTATTTATAATATTTATTATTTATTATTTATAATTATTTTAAATAAAGATATATATAATGCAAATAAATCTAAAAATTAAGTTTTTATTTCGCAATTAATTTCTTTTTCAAATAAATTTTGCCAAATTACTTTGTTTAAACTCATCATTTACCGAATTTTTAGTAAAAACAATGTATAATACAAATATAAAATAATGTATTATATATATAAAATAATGCAAATAGTAAATATCTTGTATTTATCATTTAATTCTATCGAATTAAATTTTAGATTATCGAATTAAATTTTAAGATTCTCAAGAAAGATTATTCCTAACATAAGCTGCACAATAAATATAGTTTGCTACTATAAAAATAGTGTTTCAGCCTCTATGTATGTAAAATAAAATTTATTGTGGTTTGCTTTTATATTTTCTGGTAGCTAACATTATATATCATGACATAACAATACAGAGTTTATAACGTGTCAGATAGCGATATCTCAGAAAACTAAAACTACTTCTCTCCTACAATAAAGACTAGCGATAAAGTGGAAATTTCTGTCGCATCCGTTTCTGCACTTATCTCGCTCATGCTCTACATTTAGCGTACTATTATAATAAGATTACTCACGTAATTCGCATGGGAAAGAACAACAGATGAATTTTTCTGAGGAATTATTTATAATTTATGTGATTATCTAACATATTTTTATTCAAACTTTTCGTGAAACCTTCGGCATTATTTCTTTTTTTCATGTAATACATATGCAAAATAGGAAGAAAAATAAATCTGGAAGGATGGGAGACAGATTTTCCGTAGAAGGAAGATAGTTAAACACGGGAAGAGCAATAAGAAACACAGCAGACCCGCATGTGACATTTGAGACACTTTTTCCCTTTCTACGGCTATCTCCTGTCGTCTTCTCGATGCTTCGATGCCCTCTCGAAAGGCTTCAGTAGTTGGTAGGAAGGAGGAAGAGAAAGAGATTGAAACGTCTCCTCCTGGCCAGCTGGTACCACTTCCCTCCGTCTTTAATCTCTCCCCGCCTGTCTCGACACGAGGACGAGCTCGATGAGAGACACCGCTACCCCATCTCCTTCCCTACCTTCCTCTTTCTTCTCATCGTTTTCGTACCATACAGACTGTCGTAGCGTATTGTAGACTTTTTGAAAGAGCACAAAGGAATGCTCTCTCTCTCTCTCTCTCTCTCTCTCTCTCTCTCTCTCTCTCTCTCTC